ACGATGACCTGATCAAATTAATTGATACATGAATGATTCCTTTCAAAATATAATATGTCATTTTGTATGATTCGTGTTTGATCATAGTTTTTCAATAACGTGTACCTCTACCAGACGAAAAATACTTGTGATACTTTATTTTTTAATGTAATACAGGTATATCACATCAAAAAAATAGCATGCAAATAGCTCTTCACACTAACAGCGTCTTCTATGGTTACTAATGAAGAGTCGCGCAATACTTTGATTCTAAGTTTTTTTCGAAATAAATTTGTTCAACTACATGTAGTACTCTGCTCAAAAAGATAGACTAAAAATGAAAACAATACGAAATATATGTATGACATGATGTCATATCAATAGTATAAATTTAATGTACGGATCCGTAGTCTTTCAATGAATTTCTTGAATTAGTTCTTATAGAAAACAGAAGATCATCTTTTAATAGATGAAATCATTTAATCACTAATTCCTTTTCTTTTATAATCAACGTCTCATTGGTGTAATAAATTTTTTATATGAATGTGTTTATTGACACTTTTCTGTATCTCTTTAAAAAAATTATCAACTGAATAATCCTAGGATTTATTTAGTACAGCATTTATATTATACATTTAAATGTCATATTGTCTACTAATCGAATAATGTAACTAAAACATATGATTGTTTCTATCAATCTTTATACAAATGCATGTATAGCTTTGTCAAAAATAAATGATATATGATTTATCAAGAGTATGTTATGTGCATAAAAGAACATCAAAATTATAATACAAGTCGACCTCATAACAGTGTGCCCCTTACTGAATAAAACATACTATATAACATATTTTTGACCAGGTGAATAAATAAATGATATTTTGAATAATAAGTCTTTATTTTGAAATGTCATAACGAAACAAGCAGCTACAATGATTTAAAATGCAACGATAAAAATGATTTTATATACAGCAATGATAGAAAAAAGAAACAAAAAAAGTGCAATTTTAATTACAATAAACAAAATGAATCAAATGTACAAGAAGCAAAATAATACTTTGAAGATAAAAAAAGAAGAAAAAAAAGGAAATAATTACAGCAAGAGAAAAGAAAAGAAATGAATTTAAATGGCGAGTCTATTTTTGAAACTAACTTTAATTACATTTTCATTCAGTAATACTTTGACGTAGAATTGTCGTTTTTTGACGACGTGTGTCACCATCTTCAATTTGAGCGGCATCTTCACTATCAGTATCATTGCCACTATCATCTTCATCATCATTGTCGTCATCACCACCATCATCATCATTTTCATCTTCATTATCTGCATCAAGTGAATCTTGAATCATTTGTGAAACACGTCGATTGAATTCAACTCGATTATCTCGGTAAAGTAAAGCAGCTTCTAAATTGGCCGGACTAAGTGGATTTGGATCAATAAGAAGTAAACGAATTGAATGAAGTATAGACAAAACATCATACGATGGCGCCCAACCATCTTTCAATATATCAACACAAATGAGTCCATCTTCCCACCAAACATTAGGATGAAAAACTTTGGTTATGAAACGAACTTGTGGTGGTCGATGCGGATAATCATCTGGAAAAGTTAATTGAAGTTGAAATGCACCAGATTCATAGACACTTTCTTCAGGTCCACAAATAATAGCATTCCAGACAAAAAAATTATCGGATGATGGACTAGCATCGATACCTTCCACTTTATTTTTTAGCAACTGTCGAAAATCTTGTTGTAATCTTCGAATGGCCATTGATAATGATGTGAATGGTAAAACAAATGAGTAGTGAAAAAGAAAATAATTTATCTAGAAATAAATGAGAAACAAATAGTATCATTGTTGTCATTTAAAAAGCAAAACATGAAAACAATGATAGATAATAATTAATTCCTAAAAAAATAATATTTATTGAAAAAAGAAGTAATCTTCATTCTCACAAGTATAATGATATACATATTTTATGTACAAGTGCCGGCAATATATCTGAAGATCAAATTAAATTTGATAGATTTCATAGTCTTGCTCTAATAAAGTAGAAACATATTGATAATAAAAAAGTACAAATATCATTAGAAAACTTACGTGACGATCATGATTATCATGACGGTTAATCTTGTTGTATTTGTAAATTGCATCAAATTATATGCTGTGGATTTGTCTTTAAAAAAAAAGATATTTTTAACTGTATTCTATATATACCGAAAGTAAAGCCATTTGATATAATACTATTTTCCATTTCACAATTCTTATTGAGAACATTAACAATACAGTTATATCTTTCACAGTGAACATTATTTGAAAGTTGTAGCTATCGTTTTTTTGCTAGAATTGAAATTCTTTATAGTAGACACCGTCATATAGTTGTATGGTAGTTACTTTTAAATAGTTCAAATAGTGTCTTCGACAAAGAGATTTTACTATATTTTAATAATTGTTTATTTTTCGAGAACAAAAATCCATAAAACAAAAAGTAACAATAATCAATAGCTAATTATTTTATTTACTAATACTCTTCAGGTACCTAGAAAATATGTTCGGTTTCTTGTAAAAAATCTTGGCTTTTAGAAAAGATCTAGCCTCTTCATAGGGGACATATTTAAACAAGATCAAAGTGTGTCCATGATAGAGAGTTTTTACTGTATTGATAATTCATTTTTTAGATATATTGTCCTCGCTAATTCTTGCATGATTACCTATGAATTTAAGACATATTAATGTCACACTATGAAGTCACACAGTATCTGATAAATTACTTTGAATAATATCTTATCTTTGAAGACAAAAAAAGGAATATAAAGTATACTATTTTAGGCTTATATTCATAGTATATGCGAACAATATCCGAAATCAATGAAGCAAGAGTTTTTTAACAAGTTCCGTTTTCTGATCAAACAATAACTCTTCCATTTTTCTTTTTTCGCGTTTCCTTCTGCTCATCTCCCTCTCTCTCTCTCAATATATATATATATATCGACAATAAGAAAATGCATTAAAATCTAACAGGCAAACGATTTTCAACCAGCAAGTGCTGACAAACTAAGAACTTCAGAAAATTTACAAAGAGAAGATCGTTTATCTTGTTAAATTTGTTGCTTCTTTTAGAATTTAAAATAATCATGAGCTCATCATATCGTCTATTGCTTATTAATACTATTCTAATTCTTCTTATTGTTCAAATTAATGGCGGTTATTGGATATGTGATTGGGTAAATGGTCGTGGATGGATGTATTGTGCACGTGGTTATTGTAATACATATCGAAAAAAAAGAAGTATTTCTATGGATGATGAAGAAAGAGGTCCTATACAAAACAATGATGGGACCTATTGCTCAAACAGAAAATTTTGCTATACATGTAAATCAATTAATGATTATATCTGCCGTATTACTACTCTAAAGACAGAAGATTTTCCCACAAACAAATCAAATTCATACAACAAAAGATCATATGAAGATATGTGTTAATAGAAAAATAAATTTACTATTGGATTATTTTTTTTTTATTTCTATCTTTATTGTACGAAAAAATCCAACAGATAAAATAAAAACAAAATCATCCTACCTTTGTTTTTAATAGTCGATAAATGAACTTGAAAATATGCATTTTCATCATTCATTAGCCATGATTTCGAAATAAGCAGTATATTTTTAAATTGTTCATATAAACATCAAAGTTGAGAATAGACCGAGTGAAAGCAATCCAGTTTCCCATATATATTTGGTATTGATCAAAAGGATTGATAATAATTTCTGCTTGAATAAATATATGTTAACGGCATAATTAACCTATACCAATTTGATTTTCTTAATAAGCATACATGCGTATGCTTACTTATTTATACCCCTGTCGGATGCATGTGTACATGTCATATTTACTAATAATGAACAGATAAATAGTTTACATTCCAATCAGTCATGTCACAAGATAACCAAAACAAATCAAATTCATGCTATAACTGTGTAGGAGCTTAGGCAATGTCGTCGTTTATTTTATCGTAGTTTCGTAATAAAAATATAATAAGAAGCAAAAAATAAAAAGAGAAAATTACCGAAGAAGAATGATAGGTATGCAATATTGGTAGCCCCTAACCTCCATATTCGTAATTGTCTTTTTCCCTTGCATATTCAATGAGACGAAGACGTAAAAGTAAAAAGACAACAAACGATAAAAGCAAAGCAAAAGTTATATATTATTTTGGAGTAAAATGCAATTCTAAAAAAAGACTATCGAAGTGATAATTTTAGTATGTATTAAATTTTCAATAAAATCTATCACATTCAATAAGTAATTAGTTCGAATTATAGAAGAGAAAATTTAGGATGATATTTAAATAACAATTTTCCTTTTCGTAACATTCGACATATATTTTCCACATATAGAATCTATTCATAAACCAAAACTATTTAGTCTTGTGATTGAAAGTACAATTAAATGAATCAACAGGCAACAAAAAATGTTATATAAAACCATCCTGTCATGAGATTCAATTTATCGGTTCTTTTCACTTGGTGTCTCCATATGTTAACATACCTACACACATTTTTTTGATGATGATTATTCAGTTACCTTTCTCTTAAGAAAAGATTCATATGAATATTTTTAAGGCGCAAATATTATTCATTATTAGAGATAAAAATACCTTTTCTATTCTATCAGTAAATGAAAATTCAAGTCACGGTTGATCTGTTTTTTCAAAATAGCTTGTAATTAGGCAAGTAGAAGAAATATGTTCGACTCTATATACCTTGTATCAAGTGGTAAAAAGAATATTACTTTATGTCGTTGTTTCATTCATATAAACACGATCATTCCAATGACTTATGATTGATCATTCGATCATTCGATCATTTATCATTGTTGAATCCTTTTTTTGTTTTTATTAGGTAATAGTCAATACAGTAGAACGTCATGTTTATATCTGTTTTGTTCTCTTTAATCATTCTTCCGTAAATTATGGCAAAAAAAAAATTTTTTTTAATGTAAGATACATGAAGTTTTTCTTTTTTTTTGCTAAACAAATCTAATTTATAAAGCTGAACAAAACCGGATAATTAAACTTCACTACTGTCCAATTTTGGTATAATTTTTCTTGATATTTCTTCTTGTCGTTTTTCATAATTTTCAATTAAAAGATGTATAACTTCTGTTGCAAGAAAAACTGGTCCATTATGATAAATTATCTCAAGAATTAATACACCATCTTGCATAAGAAAATCTCGTGTGAATTTTTCCAATAAATTTTCATCTATAGATGATTTTGATAAACTTGTTCGATACAAATTTCGTATAAAACTAATTCGACTACGTGCCATTATTGTATCATATAATGCAAAAAGAAATGAAAATAAATTTGATATAAACACATAAACAAACCAAAACCAAGCAAGTGAAAAAAGTTTTTCATTAAGCATATTTATAGGTAAAACACATTGAACTGTATAACGATGGAGATTACCAACTTCACGTATACGTAAATCACATAAAGTTACACGAGGAAAATAAGGTGAATCAGTTAAAACAGAATTTCTTATGAATACACTATACCATATATCAAAACCATAAAACCATCCTGGTTGACCCAAAACTATATGAATAACGATTAATTGAATAAAAGAATTAATTAAATAGAGAAATTTAACCATTAAATAAATTGAACGAAGATAATTTCCTAAACGTTTACCACTTGTACAAAATATAGTTCGACAAAATCGACTACCAAATCGAACATCATGTTCACTTGGTTGACAATAACATTCAATACATTGAGTAATTGTATTTTTGTTCTCTTTCAATACAAGATATTGTATATCAATACCTGATCGAGTATTCATCGAACGCCAAAGCATACGTGGAAGATAGAAAAATAGTGCAAATAAAAGAAAAATAAATGGTACCCATTGATAATAACCAATTTCAGCATGTTCTCGATCATATTTACTGTGTGGGACTGTTGTATTACTTGGTATATAATATGTATTTGAAATCCAACAATAATTATTTGTATACTTTGAATAAGCACCAACAAATTGAGCTGGTACCCAACATGATATTCGTTCTAAGCTAATTGGTGCACTCGAAGCAATAACTGCACAAACAAGTAAAAATCCTACGGTATAGCGATGATTAAGTCGATCAGAATGTACATCATCGTTTGATGCTTTTAATGACTTAATCCATGGAAGTCCTTGTGCAAAACCGAATAGTTTAGCTGACATAATTGTTTAATATTTATAACCTAGAAAAGATATATAGCATGAAGATTGATTTTCGAACAAATGATGATCATCGAAAATAATAAATAATATTTAAGAAGAAGCCTTCAACAGATTTTTATTGTGGTTTTCATTTGTCAACGACCTTTTTTAATATACGTATTTGTGTTCTTACAAAAGAAAAAGAAATTGAGAAGTCTCTTGTAGAGGGTAGTTTTTTTTCTTCGTTAGTATATTTAGTATGTGACACATCTCTATTTTCTTTCTTTTTTCCTTTTTATTCGTCTAAAGTATACTTATTCAAATATCTATGTTGACCTTGTCTCTTACTTTTTGTTTTAATTCTTATCTTTTCCTGTGTCTCGATATATCATTATAGACAATTGTATTTGACTAAAAAAATCTACAGCAATACAGCATAAGAACAACAAAAAAAGAAAAATAACAATAGATGCATATTAGTCGATTAGCTGTAATATATAAAGATAAATTTTTAAATTTGCACAAGAAAAATAACAAGAGAAAAAGCCAAGGATTGCAAAGCACTTGATTGGCATTTTTCTAAAAGACGAGTTTCAAATTTCCTTTATGAATATAAAGAAAAGAAAGGAAATCATATGATTCATATGTATGCAATGGAAATCAAATTCAGATAATGACATTTGTTTTTAGTCTATAAAAAAATAATGAAAAAAAAACAAAAGATTTTATCGAACTTACTACTACTATTGTTTTGAGTAATTAAACTGATCTGACGATGATGAGCTTCGTCATAAAACAGATGCTCATGTAATGATTAATGAGTACTTTATTTTATGTGTATTAATCATATTTGAGCCAACAAATGTACGTAATTAATAAAATGCTATTTGTGACTATTTATGTTGGTATCACATGTTGATAAAAGAGGTATACCAATCTAAAATAACAATCGAATACGAGGTATTGATAAGTTATCTAAATGTACACACTTCATTGTGGTTTTGACCATGAAGAATCGAACTAAATGTCAGTACGTGCTGTTACTCAGTATAAATAGTGTTAAACAAAAAAACAATCGATCAACATCATAATTTATATTATAAATAATAAATTTCTTTCTTTATTTAACCTATAACCAAATATTTTTTTTTGTAAACATTTTCATAAAGACTTACAAATAAATTTTCATTCTTCTTCTCTCACATTAATGCTGTACATCAATAGTGATTGATAGTAAATGAATCGAGATAGAAACGATGTATTTCGTTCAATATTGGCAAAATAATCAAGTAAAGTTTCGGAAATCACTTTTATTTGGTAATTAAAAAATTAATGTGCGAAAATGGCTATATTCTTTGATAATATTCGTCAGAGAAAAAAAAGCGACAACAAATAACTTGTTTATCTATTGGATGCAATTCCTTTCAAAGCACAACAAGTGATATTTATGTAATAAAAGGCAGCATAGGCAGCAAAAGTGGTGGATGTATTCCTTCCCCACAATAATTGAAATTTATTTTTTATTATCCAGTTAAACTGCCAAAATTTGTTGCATTATTCATTACCTCTATGAGACATTATCTTAGGACTGTTGAGGAGCCGCTAAAAAACATATTCATATTTTTATTTCTTTACAAAGTCATATGCACTTTTCTTTTCATCATCTGATGTCTATTTATCGTGATTTAAATTTTCAATGTATTTTCAAAGTGTTAAATTGTATTCTTATCTTTTATCAATGCGGCATTACTTCGCTAAACGAAGGATATCAATTTTCTCATCAAGTTACCTGTATTGTAGTTACTTAAAAAGGTCGTATCTTTGTTATCTTCTCATGATCGATTGAAGTATTCATGGGTTTCTTTTGCTGAAGTCAATCTAATCATTGGTACAATTAATGTATATTGATCATATATAGAGTGAAATTCATGCAGTCATATTAACAAAAATCTATTAAATGGAACTTCTCATCTTGCCTGGATGTATAATGCTGTTCCTCATCCAAATGGTAAATGTATATATACGAGTATTAGATTCAACTGCTATAGTTTTAAGTTGTTGTATTTCTCGTAGACCTAAACTGGTTGCAATTGATTTAGAAACAAATGAAACATGTCAAATTATATCCTATTTGATACATACATAGAGTAACACAAGGATCTTATTGTAATGATGTTCGATTTCATGCTTAGTACACATAAATGAATGATTGCAATTTTTTTTGGAATATTGATTACAGTTGACCTTAATAATGAACAAACATGAGCTGTTTTACATGGACATAAATCATCTAAAATCGATGCCACTGTGTCAATTGCAATTACTTGTGTTAATAAACGATTTTCTTTCAATATCATTTGTCTTTGTAGAACAGTAACATCCTATGACATTTATTCTTGGTGGCTGGATGGTGATGGTATCAAATTCTCAGCTAATAGTATTGCATCATCATTTGATGGATCAACACTTCCATTGATAAATTCTTGCAGACAAAAGCATTATTTTTGTATTTATATGTGAAGTTTTCAGCAAAACTTTTTGGGCCATGCACAAGATCATGCACTTGTTATTGGTTAGGAATAGCTCTGTTGATCGTCTACTTATTAGCTGCTGTTATCCTAATCATACATATTTCATATTTCATATGATATGAATTCAAAGCAAGGCATCGATGTTGTTCTTCTGTTCTCTCTTATCCATTTGCAACCACTCCCATACCCTTCGTAGGTTCTTAATTTTTCGAAATCATCACTAAATATAGTACCTGTAACTAAATCTCAAAAATCGTTGTGACCATAACTAAATCGAGACAATCTTCATGATCGTGACCGTAACGTAATCCTGATCAAGTTTCTCGTAATCATGGCTAAAAATCGTACTCACGCAAATCCTTCGAAAAAACAACATTTAATCTATTTTTCAATGTTTCAGTGACAATGCATCAAATTGAAAATTTCTCAATTTTATTCGTATGTATGTATGTAAAAGGAATTCACAATAACAAAATACCTGAAAATAATTCATTATACTACTAAAGTCAGATTTGAATCGCTTTGGAAGAATATTATAGTCGATAGGATCGACTAAGTGAACATTTATGTAGCTGTCGTCGAATTAGATTTGGAAAACAGGGTATTTCAGAGGAAGCGCCGTATACAAACATCATACGAAGCGAAAAAAGTTGTTGTAAATGATCAACAAAGAAATAAACAGGATTAATAATACGTTTTAAAGTTTTATTTTTATCATCAAGAAAACGTGACCTTTTCCAATACCAATCATTGTATTAATCATGGCTAGCAAACGTAAAGTTCTTTTAAATTAGATAATCTATGGACTAGTAGTTTCCAAAAATGTTGAGCATTAACCAATGTCAATGTAGGTTCGTTTATATAAAGTGAACAGATCTAATGTATTACAAGGTATATTTTTCATTTTGAATACATAATCAAAATATATCTTACAATGGAAGTGTGATGTAACCCAAGGAGATAGAACATATTCGAGTCAAATTAAAGGTTTCACTGCCAAACTAATAAATTTAAAATATGACGTGCTAATTGGTGTGCGTAGACCAAGATATTCGAACTTTAAGGTATTTTTCAGCATATGCAGCGTAATCACAAATCAAAATTTCAGAAGTTTTTTTTTCTTTTTTATCATAGCTGGATAGAGCTCGTCGAGTTGCATAAGAAAAAGTATGTTTCAAACATTAAAAAACATATTTTACGAAAGTCAGAATTTTGGACCTATTTCCTCTTATATTTGAAAATAACGGAAGCTTAGACTTTTTCGTAAAATATGTTTTTTTAATATTTGAAACATACTTTTTCTTATGCAACTCAACGAGCTCTATCCAACTATCATGAAAGAAGAAAACAAAATCTTCTGAAATTTTGATTTGTGATTACGCTACACACGCTGAAAAAAATCTTAAAATTCGAATATCTCGGTCCACGCACGCCATAAGCACGTCATATTTTAAATTTATTAGTTTGGCAGTGAGATCTTTAATTTGACCCGAATACGTTCTATCTCCTTGAGTTACACCACGCACACCTCCATTGTTAGTGAGAGTTGTTAATTATGAAGGTCTTCTAGTTGCAAGCAGTTTCTTTTCTGGAGAAACGGTTTTTAACATTCTATCAGGGCGAGCTAAATCTCTTGACCGGTGTGCTGGTTCTGGTTCAGGAAAATGAATGCCGTTATCTAACAAAACAGGATGACAGGATATGCTTAAACTTAGTGCACTGAAACAGTCTCTAATCATCGAAATAATCGTCTGAGGTAGAGTCAGTCGAGCCCGAGTTCGACAACTTTGAACCGAATGGTCACTAACAAGGACTGAAAAGTGAATTTAATATTGTCGACTCGACGGACTCTAATTTAAGAGAAGCAAAAGACTGATCAAAATGACTTATTTTAATCAAGAGGATTTTTTTTCTCTTTATCTGGTGAACAATTTCTATATAATCAATCTAACTTAACGATGTAATTAGACAAAAGCGGATGATGGGAATTTCGGAAATATGATTCTCGCCAGCTTAATCGTGAATTAGAGAGATATCTATTGACTATATTGTTCTGTAAAAGCAACAAGATATGCTCTAACAACGTTAACTTCAGTCTTCACATCTGTCACACTAACTGCACTCACTGGAGAATATGCACTCTACTTTCATCAATAATTACCTAGGTTTAGGAACGTGATAAAAACTTCGTCTTTGTACATATCGTACACTAAATGCATAGTTCACTAGAACTGCAAAATTATCGGTTTAAAAAAAAACAAAAGTTAATTTCTTTAAAGTTCGTGCTGGTAAAGTTGAAGGCCCAACCAAAGTCACTTATTTAACTAAAGAAACTGGTTTTGTTTCTTGGAAACCTCCATTGGATAGTGGCGATTGTACAAGTGAAAAATATGTAGTCGTAGAACAAGATGTTGGACGTGGTAGCTGGGCGCCAGCTGATGAAGTGATAACACCTACACCTCATTACGTATCACCAAATTAACACGAGGAAAAGAATATTTCATGCTGTTGATAAGGAAGGCGGAAGTGAACCAATAGAAACAAATGCAGATACATTAGCGAAAAATCTATTCGCTGAACCAAGTGCACCTGGTAGGTAAGCCAGTAGTATCAGATTGGGATAAAGATCATGTGGATCTTGAATCACACATACCGGTAATTAAAATAAAATGAATTGTTACGATTGAAATCAGTTTTTTGTTGATATTAGTCTTCACTAGATCATATCTAGAAGATGAGTGTCTTGATCTATATTTGTATGCTTATAATAGTGTGATGAAACTAGTTGGAGTCTGCACGCGAACTTCAGATGGTTGTGTCAGGGTAAATAAAAAAATTGTCATTATTCAATTTTTCTAGAAAATCTCGATTACAAGAAGTTCGTACATAGATTAAAAATTTACCAACATATTCAATGCCACTTATGGATAGTGCTTGGCAAGTACATGATATACCCGTTATTAAAGAAATTGATCGATTAACAAAATCATTCTATGCAGTAGGTTTTGTTATTCATTAAAACTTCTTTATTATTTTTAGCTTTGTTTTTCTTTTAATAATTCATAGAAACATCCAATAAAAAATTCTAATGAAAAAACGAAATTAATTTCACTTGAAGCAAATCGTATATTTACACCGAGTGAATCATGTGGCATGTGTGATTCAGATATTGAAACACGTTATGATCTTTATGATCGTGTTATTACGGTTCGTCTTGGTACTGGTGTACCACTTGGTACCCGTGGTACTATAATTGGTGTTATGCTTGGTCAAACACATTTGGATACATATTATGAAGTTTTATTTGATCATTTACCAAAAAATAGTCTTGAAGCCCTTTTTATTTGGTAAAAATAATCAACAATGTCGAATTACCGTTCGTTCTTATCATTTACTTAATTATTCTCATTCACTTCGTATTCGTTCAATAACTAATTATCAACAACAACGAACAATTCCAGGCGAAAATGTTTGGGAAAAAAGATTATTAGAACAATCATCATCACCTCGACAAACACAAGGACAGCAACAACCGACTCGAATTCTTAAACGAACTTCAAATGATACTAATTCTTCAACAGTAACAACACCAAAATCAGCACCACCAACAACATCTACACACGAAAAGCCTAATTTTGTCGAAGTAACAACTACTTCTATTAAAGAACAACAAATGATAACAAAGTCTACACATTTAACATCAACAGAAAAATCAACATTGCCTCAAGTAACAACAACAAATTCATTATTACTTTCACCATGTCAAAAAAATTCTCTATTACCTCCATCACCAGTTGAAAAACTTCCTGAACCAGAACTTAATATTCCATCAATATATACAACCTTGCCAATCGCAAGTGAATCAACAGCACCGTTGACAGCTTTTCCTACAAATCCAAGACCAGATTCTTTATTATTGCGTGCCATTCAAGAATCAAAACAAATGCAAAATCTCGTCGAACATCAACCGAATACTCAATCAATAATTGTTCAACAACAATGGGATGCTATTCCACCGCCATCATTACCAATAGTACAACAAACACCTAATGATCTGTCTAAATCTGTTCAATAGTCATGTAAAACCATTCCAACATCATCACTAGCAACACAACAACAACCTGTTGATCTCCTCATGTTACATCAACAAACATGGGAAACTTCAACACGTCAACCAGCTCCAAATACATGTATGTGACTTATTTTTTCTTATCTTAATTTTATTAATGATTGATAAGGATCAAAGAATGCAACAAGAAACAAAACATGAATATTCTGTAAATAAAAATTAATCTTGAAAAATTTTCTTCTTTCATTTTAGTCTTTGCGCAGGCAATTGAAAATATGTCACGTGCACCACCATCTTCATTACTATCTTCTCAATCTGAACAACAATCATCAATATATAGTAGTCCATCACAATCACAATCATTTCAACAGCAACAACAACAGGCATCTCTCTCTATTCTTCAGCGTGCGATTCAACAATCTGAGCAACAATTTAATACAAATCAAACATCTGCAATATCAAATGAATTTATGCATGTCGCACCTTTTCAACCATTTGATTTATTATATCCAAATACATATCCTGGTTTTCCTATTGCACCTTTACTCAATCAAGTTCCATATCAATATCAACAACAACAATCACCAGTCCAATCGAACAATATACGCATGGTATCATCTCATACAATATCTAGTCCTTATATGTCTCATAATTCTCCACCATCACAACCACAAACAGCACAACAAATGAGTTCACCTCGTACGACAGGTGGATCAACTCTTCAATTTGTTCCATCACAAGTCTTACGTAATATGTCTAAGAACCACAAATAAACAAACAAAAAAGCAAAACAAATGTACCAGCTATCTATTTTGCTAATGTTTTCTTTTCAGTTTACACGCATACAGTGTTTTATCCAGGTTTTTTTCTTCGGAGGGGCCATTTTGAAATTTCGGGGAGGCGAAAAATTTTTTTCGAGAGGGCAAGCCATATAGTTCGTCGCGCAATGATCGCGAGTCTCGGGTGGGGGAGGGGGGGGGGGGGGGGGGGGGCACCCCGATTTTCGAGGGGCGGCCCCACCCCCCCCCCCCCCCCCCCCCCCCCCCCCACGGCCAGCGACAGCACACAGCCCCAGCCCCCCCCGCGCCCGTCCGTCCATCGGA